CAGGAATTTTGGAGGAACTCGTTTGGCTTAGAGGATGTGAGGAGAGCTAAAATAGTGGAAAATAAGCCTCGCAACTGTAGTGGAAAGCTACTAATAAAAATAGTTACGTTGCAATGTTCATTCTTGACCTTATAGTTTGACAATGTTTTTAGACCGTGTGATGTAGTTGAAAGTAAAGTTCTGGTAAAAGCTATAGAGTGGACCTTGAGTATGGATTGTTTACAGTTTCTAAGCTAAAGAATGAACTTTCATACTTGATACATAATGTTCAGATATACAGAAATGTCTCATTGTTAGTCTGCTTGCCAAAACTAGACTGTAAAACACAAGGTTTAACTCTGTTACTTACTACCAGTTTAGAAATAACTTGATAACTAATTAACAGATTATATAATAATATATATTATATATATAGCAGACAAATCGAGTTTTTGATTGTTAAACTTAAAAAAAGAATAATGAAGGATGTTGTTTTAACAGTAGTTTGATGAGGGGTCATCTTGTCTTTCTATCCTTGTTTGCTGCAAAAGAAGTGCGTTAAGCTGAGATTGTGTCTTAGTATGTGGCAGAAATGGAGATAGAATGATAGAACTCATCAAACAATGTTTAAATGAGGAAAAGCATTTAAAGAATTTGAATGAAATTTCACCATCTTGACACCTGAGTTTTTTCAAATTTCAAGCCAGACTCGTTAAGTTCTTTCTTCCCCAAAAACAAAGCAGAACACCAAGTAGACTTTCCCTAAATTACAGCTATTCAGCTTATTGTCAAAAATATTACTTGACAGTCTGTCTGGTTTTGGCCAAAAATGTCTTTCCTTTTCTTATAAATACCAGAGACGGATGAGAACCTATCCGTTAACACGTCCTGTCAAGGAAGGTCTTTCCACTCTTCATCATCATACAGACAGTTAGATAAAACATAGCCGAGGGCCTGGTTTAAGCACACTACTACCTGGTTCCTGATTTTGCTTTTTGCCTGGGGCATGCATTTACATTTAAGTCCTAAGATTGGGTCATATAAAATCTCTAGCTTCCCTTTGACCTAAACCTTAAATCAGTAAATCCCATCAGTTTTGGACAGAAAATTTTAATCCACTTCATGTAATCTTTACTGCATGAAAGTTCCCATTTTCATATAATCTCCCATCAAAAGTCAATGAGCTGCATGTAACCTACAGTATAAGTGAGAGAAGCAAAGCTGTGATTAGAGCAGCTGGCAAAGTATTGTTGGGTGAAATAAATGTTCCCTTCAATATTCTTACAGAGGGATCCAGTCCCTTATGGAAAATGAGCAAAAATGACAAAAACAAGAAAAAGGTCAAACAATGTTCACTAAAAAGGTTTAAAAATATATTTATGAAACATACCTTGTAAAGATGAAGACGAAGAAAAAGCCCTCGTCCAGTAGATCCAACAACAACCACCTCTCAAAGGTCTGATGTTTATATCCTGAAAGTTACAGAGCTGCTGCAAGTCTCCTACTTCTTCTTTCTTCTTGTGTCCTCTATTCTTTCTGTTGTTACTTAGCAGACAGAAGAGAGTGAGAGAGTTGGGATGTAAACCCCTCTGGGCGGGACAAGAAAGTGGAGTCAGGCGGCTGGACCTCCTCTGCATCTCTTTCTCATGTCAGTACAGTGCAGGAATAAACACAAATCCAGATAAAATACTGTGGAAAAAAGTCTTCCTCTCCTGTTCTGTCCTCATCTTCCTCCACCTCTCTGGCTCTCTTCCCCTTATTTTGTCTCCATCCTCCTATTATTCCCTTTCTACAGCCCCGCTTTGTTGCTGTCTCTCTTTTTGAATATTTGAAACAGTGATTTGGAAAGGATGGATGGAAGGAAGTGGAAGGCAAACAGAAGAACAGCATGTACTGGCTCGATTTGCACCCAAAAGCAGGACTCCAAAACAAGGCAGATATGTGAAAAGCAAAATGTATTTGATTTTTTAGGCAGGCAAAGGTTGGCAACAGGCAAGCAAATCAAAACATGGGCATAATAGGGCTCAGTGTCCAGAAAGTCAGATAAGAAACAGAAAAACTAGAACAACTGGAACTCATAAACTACATGGCAGGTGGGTGCTGGTTGGATTGGGAATAAGAAGATCTGAAATAAAAGTTGAATAAGGGACTAGCAGGGGGAAAATAGTCAGAATAAATATGCACAAAAATTAAGAGCTGGCTGACGCTATGACACAGAAACACTATCTAAGGAGAGACCAGAATGGACAATTTCATTCAAGTAGGTTTTCAATGAAGTTTATTTAAAGGTGTCTCCAGGGTGGTCCCACACAGAAACGGTCTGAAGGACAAAAAATATATGTGCTACCTCTGTTAGTCTCTGTGTAAATACCTGACTCAATTAGAGAAGAGAGGGGGGAAATAATAGAGAGAAACAGACAAAGAAATATAAACTGTTTCTGTAGATGTTTTTACAACGCTGCCAGCCTGTGAACCAGTTTTGTCAAATTTACACACACACACACACACACACACACACACACACAACACACACAACATACATCAAGGAACAGAGAGAGAGAGAAAGAGCACATGTATATCTTTTACATTTATTTTTACAGAGATATACCATTTGGAGTGAAGCAGCACCTCATAAACCACAGTGATATAAACAAAGACGTGTGTGTGTGTGTAAAAATGTCCAACAAACTGCCGTAGCACAGACCTAGCCTGAATACTGGTGAATTAATTTATCTTCACTTCATATAAAACTAATAAGGGACTTTTGATCTATGTTTGCGTTGCTGCTGGTGATGTCATCTAAAAGTGGCTGGCTAATGTTTGATTGAATGTTTCTTGGCTTGTTCAAATATTTAAAACCTTTGTCGGATCTATCCTGGTCCGGCTTGTTTAAAGTGCTGGAGACAGAGAGGAAGGATGTCCCACTTGACACTTTAGTGGGATTTAGTGGGTGAAAGGAGTTCTGATATATAGTTGTGTGTAGGAAGTCTATTTCTAGAGACGGCTGCTATTATTGCATTTGGGAATTAAAAGGGCGCCCCAACAATTTAACATCTAAAAGTCTAATTAACCAATGCATGGGACGTTCTGTACAGCCTTTAAAATCAGTGGTCTAATGCCTTTCGTGGGTATG